TCCACACAGCTGCTCCAGCACCCAGGGCTGCATCGGGATAGATCCATGCGGCTTCTCCTTGGGGATGTCTTGTAGGAAATCCATCTTGCAAGCTGAAGCAGGGAACTAACTGCTAAGGCAGCTGCACCCGGTACAACCATCACAAAGCAAGAGACCTGAGAACTAGAAAGGCGAGGCTCACCACCCATTTATCTCTCAGCCTTTCAATTAGCCCCACATGTGTTTATCGGCCAGGTTGGCACAATTAACTAACTCAATGACACTGCTTTTCTCACTGGGGTGTATTCTGTCCCTTTAGCAAGTGGCTTGCTACAAACAAACTCTGAAAGCTTCTTTCATTCCCCCCCCACCCCCCATCCCTATTTTCCTAAAAGGGTAAACCTGCTTCCAGTTTTCTTTTGGGTAATGAAAACAGGTACTAATACAGACCTTTTGTAAAAGCAAAGTGGCATAATGCAAACTGTCAAAAAGCACAGGATACGTGAAAAAAGAGTAAATCATACATATTTTAAAAATTTATAAATATGAAGTATCGCTATGTAAATGTTTTAAAACAACACTATAACCAGCTGCTTGCACCTACTAATAATGAATGCTTGCATTTAAATGAAGTTTATAAATCATTCTATATAAGAAAGGTACAGAATTTCAATAGCTAGTATACAAATATGCACTGGAATAAAAACTTTTGTTAGAATATATATATATATATATATATTACTTACCAAGCACAACTCATAGAAGTGGGGATATTAGATAATATTACAAATGAAGAGGATTATAAAAGTAGTAAATAACATCATTGTCATTATGGCTAGTGTTTATTGATATTTATTATGTATTAAGCATTATACATCTACTTGACATAGATTTTTCAAACATTTCTCTCAAATTATGAAAAATTATGTTAAGTTGGAGGGAAGGAACTTGGCATTAGGTTAAGTGTAATGTTAATGTAATTTTCTAGGAGAGCCCTGCTTGATACTCACTTTCATGAAGAGATCACTGAGGATATGGGTGCTAAAGGAAAGCCTGGTGAAGAAACTAGTTGTGCCTAGCTATTAGAAAAAATAACATCTGGGGTCTTAAGGCTGGTGTTTGAACAAGCAGTCATCTGAGAAAAATATCAACTGGGCTCCCTGGAAGAAGCACACTAGTCTGTATGATCCAAGGATTATGAACATAAAATCCAAACCTGAAGGAGGGAATGGTATCATTCCAGCTTAAATTGTGAACACCTGGTTTAAAGAAAGCTATCAGTCACAGTAGGAACCCACAATTCATTCATAGGGTGGGTGCACACAAAGATTAAGCCTCTGGTGGATCCTCTGTGATCTTACTGATGTGGTAAGACGTGAAAAGATGTGCTATAATGAATCGTGCAGTAGTTTTTGTTTTTTTGTTTTTCTGTGTTGTTTCTATGCTTTGCTGTATTTGAAATCCAGGATGGGTAGAGATAGTGACTGCAGCAATAGTTTCTTGGGGGAGGGGCCATGTGTGTGACAGAAGAAATTGGGGGCAGGCGAGTAACTGATTACAATGAGTACAAGAAAGAAGTAAATGTTATAAAATTGATTTTGAAGATTTTATAACTCTCTTTGATATGATTGAACTATTTAATTACACCATATGCAGTGTACATGCCAATAAAACTCTTAAAAAATAAAATGACAATTGTCTACATATATGACATTGAATAGGATAGAAAAATAGGTTGTCTGAAGTTTCCCTACATATTGCAGCATTTCTGTCTTCCCCAATGCTCGGGATAAATTCCACCAGTAATAATGGCAACTAAACATATTTCCACAGCTTTTTACTATGGACCTGGAATGTGGTACTGCTTCCACGAGGCAACTGATTTGAAAGTTGCCTTATAATGAAGCAAGAATAAACTTGAATTAGCTGACTCCGGAAGAGTTCCAAAAGCAAATTTGTATATTGAGAGGATCCTTGGCTATAGTTTGTATAATGTTCTGTTATCAACTGATTTCTCTTTTAAAGATGATTTAATTTGATCGAGCTAATTCACCCCTCATTTTGTAATAAATTTATACCAAAACATGTATTGCTACTGCACTAGGCTGGTACCATCACCAACAACACATACAGTGTTGACATGAATGAAGTTGATCAATTTGAGAAACTATTTCATGCTAAACACTTCTAGTAAGTCTTATATTGAGAGAACAGGTAAGATAGGAGGTTATGTCCTAAAGATAGATAAAAAGAGGAACTAGACTGAATTATATCTTTAAAAATGATAAGTTCAAATTACAAACAAACAAATCCATGGGCTTTAGTTGATTCTAACTCCTGCTGCCCATAGAGTTTCTGAGGCTGTGAATCTTTCCTGGAGCATATAGTCCCGGCTTTCTCAGAGGAGGGTAAATAAATGGTCTGTTGTAACACAAGAAGGAAAAACCGTGGCACATTCCATAGTTGAAATACTGGAGAGATGTCAGGGAAGGGTGTTAGATATATTTATGGAAAAGTATTATTTGAGATGACCCTTGAGTGGTAAATAGAATATGACCATAGCATTTTGGGAGAAAATCATTCCATCTGGAGAAATGCATTTTCAGCAATAGCATAGATGTCAGAATACGTGGTGCATAAACACACTCTCGCACTGGTTCCATTAGCTGGAATCTAGAATGCCTGAGGGAGAAGGGGCAAGAGAAAACAAGCTCAGGAAGGAGAAATGGCCAGAGCACAGGCAGTAGTAGTTGGTAATGGTTTTCAGTATGAGCAAATCCATGTTTCAAGGTGCCCAATCTAGAACAATACCATAAGTGCCTTTTAGTAGTCGAGATGTTGTTTATAGGAGCTAGTTGGAATATTAGTTGTAAGAGATACTGAAGTACTAATTCAGAAGAATAGAAATGGAAATTAACAGAAGCAGTTAAATTACTGTGGCTTTGTTTTTGTTTTTTTTTTGACAATTCAGTGGCTTTAATAGATTGACAGTGTTTTATAATCATCACTCCTATCTAGGTCCTGAAACATCCCCTTCCCCACCCCCCTCCAAGAAGGCCCTGTCCCTGGGAGCCATCACGTCTCTTCCTTCTCGCCCCTGGACATGGCCCATCTGTGTCCTGTAACTATGATTCGGTCTCTGTGGGACCTGTGATCTGGTCTGGAGATCTCATATGCGGAGCCCAGTGGCTCAGTGAATAAAGCACTTATGGTAGCTGCTAAAGGAAAAGGCTGGTAGTTCAGGCCCAACAACCCTGGTGGCACAGTGGTTAAACGTTGGGGTTGCTAACTACAAGGTCAGCAGTTCAAAACCACCTGTTACTCTGTGGGAGAAAGTCAGGGCTTTCTACTCTGGCATAAAGTTCCAGTCTTGGAGACACCCGGGGGCAGTCCTATACTGGCCTACAGGGTCACCAGGAGTTGGAATTGACGGGGTAGCCCTGAGTTTTGAGCCACCCCACAGGAGAGAGATGAGGGGGTTTAGATATCAGTCTTGGCAAACCTGTGGGACAGTTCTACCCTGTCCAACAAGGTCACTGCGGTTGGGTATTTCATATAGAGAGAATCAGAAAGAAGAAGTGGGCTCCCTCATTCCGCATGGTGTTTCTGAGGTTCATCGTGGCAGTGTGTATCAGAACTTTGTTCCTTTTTATAAGACTGCATGGTGTGTCGTTCACATTTGTTTATGGGGTTAGCCATGGACGGACACCGGGCTTCCACTACTGTAACTCATATGGCACATGCATCTATGAGAATTTGTTGGAACACCTGTTTTCAATTAGTTGGGGGCTACGAGAGGGCTTCCAAATGTTTGCAGGGAGATGGGGGTAAAAGAGAATGGAATTTTTCCATGCACTTCTTGAAGCCCCCTCAAACTGCTAGAAGCCAAAGCCGTGGGTCTCCTGGCAATGCTGTGCTTAACTTTACGACAGAACTCCACCCTCTTTGCCACAGTGGCCGCGCCAGCGACACTCCCACCAGCAGCGTGAGGGTCCCAGGCTCTCCAGAGCCTCAGGAACACCGATTTCTGGTTTGTGTGTGTGATGTGGTGTCTCACTGTGGCTTGGCTTTATGTTTCTCTCATGCCTCATGATGCTGAGCACCTTCTCACAGGCTTCTTGGCCCTTTGTGCCTCCTCTCTGGAGAAATACCTGCTTGAATCCTTTGCCCACTCTTTTGGAAGGCTGGCTTGTGTGTTGTTGCTGAGTTGTAGGAGTTCTGTCTATAAACTGGACATTCATTCCTTAGCAGACAGAGAAGTCTGCAGTATTTTCTTCCATATGTTGAGTTTCACTTTCCTCACGGGTCCTTGAGTTAGTTTTCGTACGCTGCATCGGGAACTAGGGGAGGGTGCACAGAGCAGATCACCGACCTTCCTTTCCACAAGTCACACCCATCTTGCTTCCACCCCTCGATGACGTATCACCACGCAGCTCACTTCCTTCTTGTTTCCCTTTCATACAGGTCCTCCTGTTGTTCTGACCCCCCCAACCATAAAATTATTTTCGTTGCTATTTCGTCACTGTCATTTTGCTACTGTTATGAATCGGGTAACCCCTATGAAAGGGTCGTTTGACCCCCAAAGGGGTCACGACCCGCAGGTTGAGAACTGCTGTCCTAGATCAATGGAGGTGACTGTCCTTTCTGAGTTAACGGTGGCCATGCTCGCGATGGACGACATTTGTAAGTCAGTGAACTGAAAACAGGATTTTCCAGCCATTTATCAGCTCGCCCTGGTGACACTTATGCACCTGTTAAGGACAAGGCATCTAGGGGGTTTCTGAAGGCCTATCCTGGGAGTGAGGATGAAGGGGGGAGGGCGCATGAATTGGGTCCCAGAAGATGCAGCTGAGCGCCCACCCCGCCCCCCTCTGTTTCCCTGGGGTTAGTTTTGTTTCTGTCGCTTCCTCTGGGGCCAGGCTTGGGAAAAGGAAATTGAAACTGAAAGCATTTGGATGGGTCTCAGGCTAGCTCCTCTCAGAGATGCCACGCCTGCTGAGTCACGTGTGTTGTTTGGGGCTAATGAAAAGCAAGGGCTGCAGGGAGGGGGGCTGTGTAAGAGGAGGTGAGAGCCAGGAGCCAGCAAACTCATCTGTGGCTGCCGAGCACCCAGCACTGGAATCCACAGCCATGGTGAGTCCGGTTTGGAGATGGGAGGCAGGTGGGCTTGGTACCCGCTGTTCTTCTGACCCCTTCCCACTCGGGGCCCCTCCTGAGGGTGAGCACCTCCTGGCTCCAAGATGCTCCAAGGCATTCAGAGCTCAGCTCCTCCCCCCTCCAAGAATGAGCCAGGATTTGGATCTCACCCTGATGGCAACCCCGAATCCTCCTTGGGGCACCACACAGAGTGTGGCATCTTAGCAAGGAAGGGGCTAGGATGGCAGGGGCGCTGGCCCGCTTTCTCTCCATACTTCTCTTTCAGGGTCCTCTGGAGGCTGCGTAGGGAAGAGGGACAGGAAGGGCAGGCTTTCTGGCTCCCCAGAGTTTGCCCTGGGCCAGCCCTAGGTTCCTGGGTGGGGAGGGGGAAGCCCAGGTGTGATGCCCAGTCCCTGAGTCCCTTGATCATATGCAGAGTTGGTCCCTGACAGTGAAGATGCTGACTGGGCAGGAGATCTCGGTATCCCTGACGGAATCCATGCTGTTGTCGGACCTGAAGCAGCAGGTCTCCAAGAAGATGGGTGTGCCTGCCTTCCAGCTGCGGCTGGCCCACCCAAAAGGCAAGGTGCTGGAGGATGGGGTGCCCCTTGTGAAGCAGGGTCTGGGCCAGGACAGCGTGGTCCTACTGATAGTAGAGAACAGCAAATCCATGAACATCCTGGTGCACAACAACAAGGGTCGGAGCAAGGCCTACAGCATCCACCTGACTGACACCGTGGCCCAGCTGAAGCAGCAAATAAGCGAGCAGGAGCATGTGCAGACAGACCACTTCTGGCTGTCTTTCGAGGGGAAGCCCATGGAGAACCAGGAGCGGCTGGGGGAGTACGGCCTCACCCCTGACTGCACAGTGTTCATGAATCTGCGGCTTCGGGGTGGCGGAGACAGGTCCTAAGGAACATGAAGTTCCTGCTCTCCAGAGGCACCTGGAGAGGGGTCTCCACTCTGAGACTTGTGAGCATTCAGCAGCAGTAATAAACACGTTTATTATGTGAAGAAACAGTTGGCTTCCTGCTCTGTCTTTGACCGTCTCTCTGTCCTGCCCTCACTTCTTACCACTGCTCCGCTGATGGGGTCAGGTGGGAACCCAGGGTAGCTGGGGATGACCAGGCGCCTCATGACAGTGGCCAACGGGGCACCAGGATAAAGACAAGTGTTTTGCACTCAGAGGTGGGTGGGCTCAGAAGTCAGTGAAGGAATTGAAGACCATCCCACGCCATTTGAGAAATTGACTTCTAAATCGGCCACAAACCCAAAGCCATCGAGGTGATTTAGATGCATAGGGTTTCTGTTCTGAGGGTGGATGTCTTTCCAGGAGTGGGCAGCCTCATCTTCTTCCCGTGGAGTGGCAGGTGGTTTTGAACCTCAGCCTTTGTGATTAGCAGTCCATTGCTTACCTGACAGCACCACCAGGGCTTAAAGAGGCCAAAAGAGGTACATTTATTGGAGTCCATGCAGGTGAGTAAGCTCCTGCCCACCTGGCGGCTGTGAAGGAGGCAGGTCCACACTAACTGGCTTGGAGGTGTCCTGACACTCCAGAACCAACTAGCCAAGTCTGGGGAAGTGTCTGGGCTTGTGTGGGGGCTTGATCAGGGCTGAGCTGCCCAACAGAGCCAGAATCCACCCTTCAAGGTTGCTCAGAATCATCCAGAAGTGTCGGGGGAGGGGATGGGGGCATGGCCAGTGGGGTGGAGGGAGCATGGCCAACAGTGTGGGGAGTCAAGCAGATTTTTGTCCTAGACTTGGGGGCATTGGAATGGGGGAGTTTCCATCATCCAGGGGGACAAACTTATCCTAAATAGGGGTATTGGATTAGGGCGCTTCCACAGTCCAAGAAGATGACCTTGCCCAGATTGTGACTCAGAGGTCAGTCACTTAGCTGGTAGCCAAGAGATAAGCACTTTGAACACATTGGTTGCTCTGTGGGAGAAAGATGTGGCAAACTGCTTTGGTAAAGATGGACACGTTGGGAAACCCTTTTACTTAGACCTACAGTGTCTCTAGAAGTCCAAATCAACTCGATGACAATGAGTTTTGGGGGAATGGGTGGGTTTCCATGGTCAAGGGGTATGAGCTTATATAAAATTCAGGGGTCACTGGAATGAGGAGCTCCAACAGTCCTGGGGGAATAAGTTTGTCCCTGATTTGTGAGCCCTGGAATGGGAAGCTCCCATGATCTGGAGAGATGAGCTTGTCTCGGATGCAGGCTTTGTTCTTAATCAGAAGTGTCTAGGGCAAAAAAAAAAAAAAAATCAAGTGTGGCTTTAGTTTTATGTCTCGGTGGAAAGGTAATTTTAGAAAAGGAATTTTGGTAGTGTAATGATTTGGGGTTAATAATTCATTTTGGAATCTATAATGGAGAGGTTTAGCAGATGGTTGAAAATGAGACATAGAGTACCAGAAAAGGGTTATGTCAAAAAAGTTTAATTTTGAGTATCATTTACAAAGCACAACTCATTAAAGCTTGGAGATTAGATGATATTACAAATGAAGAGGATTATAAAAGTATTAAGTAACATCATTGCCATCATTATGGCTACTACTACTTGCTGATTGTTGTGCACTAAGCATTATACATTACTTGATACATATTTTTCTAACACATTTCTCTCAAAAGCCCTATGAGTTAGTTAATTGTGCCAGCCTGGCTGATAATCACATGTGGGGCTGGTTGAAAGGCGGAGGGATATATGGGTGGTGAGCCTTGCCTTTCTAGTTCTGGGGTCTCTTGCTTTGTGATGGTCGCACCAGGGTGCAGCTGCCTTAGCAGTTCCCTGCTTCAGCTTGCAAGATTGACTTCCTACAAGACATCCCCAAGGAGAAGCCACATGGACCTATCCCGATGCAGCTCTGGGTGCTGGAGCAGCCTTGTGGAGACCCCTGCTAGTGCTGAGATGCTTGTTCGTTCACTGACTCAGCTTTCCTCCTGCAGTCGGCATCATTGCCTCTGTTTTGTGAGGTGGAGGACTTTGTAGACTGGTGTTGAGTTAATGGGTTAATGTTGGACTTGTGGGCTTGGGCAGCATTGGGTTGGGATGTTTTCGTGATGCACACTTTCTTTACATAAAATTCTCTTATACATGAGTTGCTGTGGATTTGTTTCTCCAAAGTACCTAGGCTAACACACCCTATAAAATAGGTTATACCATTATGAGCCAACATCTTTCATTATAAATAAAATAACCAACCCAGAGAGAATTTGTCCAATTCACATAAATAGTATGTGACAGAGGAACAAATTCCTCAGGAGCTCATTGACTTAGGAGGCAAGATTAATAAGGGAGAACTAGCTGAGTGTAAGGGGATGAATCCAGGGTTTACACTCTCCTAGAACATGAAGGAGTAGTTTGGTAGCTCTGAATCACACACTTAAGGGACCGTGGAAAGGCTTTCAGAAACACTCATTTAATAAGGTTGCAAAATTCTAGAATATAATCAATATAATCTAAGTATTATTTGTGTTTTCTTAATACCTTCTAGAAGTTTTCTGATTTTATTTGTCCATTACTTACTCTGAACTTCGATACAGTTTATGAACATGCTCCGTCAATTGGAAAGTTAGTGGGAAAACAAAAGGAAGACGCCCTCCAATGAGCTGGATTGACATAGTGACTGCAACAATGGGCTCAAACTAAACAGTTGTGAGGATGCTCAGCACCAGGCAATGTTTCCCTCTGTGGTTCATAAAGTCTCTCTGAGCCTGACCTAACGTGAGGCCACCTAAAGGCAGCAGTGGTACTTTATTCTCAGCCTTAGAAACGGACCCTGGTATACCCAGTCTTGGATAACACCCAATGTTATTCTCAAATAACATGTATTAGTAATAAGCAATTTGATACCGATTTGTTTGGAACAAGAGAATTTCTTGAAAATACCAAAAGTTGTGTTAGAATAACCAAAACCACAAAGTCGTTCTTTGAAGAAGTGCGATAAGAATGCACCTTAGAAGTAAGGATAGCAACATTTTGGTTCACTTACTTTGGACATGTTACATTAGGAAAGACCAGTCACTAGCAAGTGATATAGTTGAAAATGTTGAGGGTCATTTAAAATGGTGGAAACTCTCAGTTAGATGGATTTAAATAGTTGTTGTTGCTAGGTGCCATAGAGTCTGTTCTGACACATAGCAACCTTATGCACAACGGAATGAAACAATGTCCGGGCCTGCACCATCCTTATAATTGTTCCCATACTTGAGCTCATTGTTGCTGCAGTACAATCCATCTCCTTAAGAGCTTTCCTCTCCTCCACTGCTCCTCTACCAAACATGATGTCCTTCACGGACTGGTCTCTCCTGATGACATGTCCAAAGTATGTAAGACAAAGTTTTATCCTCCTTGCCTCTAAGGAACACTCTGGGCATACTTCTTCCAAAATTGATTGGTTTATCCTTTTGGCAGTCCATGGTACTTTTAATTTTCTCTACTACCAGAATTCAAATGCATCACTTCTTTAGTCTTCTTTATGCAATGCCCAACTTTCACATGCATATGAGGAAATTTAAAATATCATGGCTAACTGTAAGGTGCACCTTAATGATCAAAGCAACATCCTTGCTTTTCAGTACTTTATGTGGGTTTTGAACAGATTTACCAATGAAACACATCTTTTGATCTTTTGATGAGTGCTTCCATGCTTGTGGATTGAAGTGGACAAAATCCTTGACAACTTCAAACTTTTCTTCATGTATCATGATGTTACCTATTGATTTAGTTGTGAGGATTTTGGTCTTCCCCATGTTGAGTTGTGATCCAAACTGAAGGCTGCATTCCTTACCTTCATCAACAAATGCTTCCAGCCCTCCTCACTTTCGGCAGGCAAGGTTGTGTCATCTACACATGGTAGGTTTTTAATAAACCTTCCTGTAATCCTGATGCCACATTCTTCTTCGTATAAGACAGCTTCTCTGATGATTTGCTCAGCATTCAGATTGAATATGCCTGGTGAGATGCTACAACCTTGACACACACTTTCCTGAGTGAAACCATGATTAAAACAGCAATAACAATGAACTCAAACAATAGCGATCATGGAGATGGGACACGATTAGGCCATGGACCGTTCTCTTACACCTAAGGTGGCAGTGAGGTGAAGCCAGCTAGATAGCAGCTAATAAGATTAAAAGAGTTAGTGCAGAGAGGCTTAGCATGAAAAGTGAAAAATATGTAAATATGATTTGTATTATATAGTTAAGGAGAAGCAACTCATTATTCTTGTGTGTAATAATGAGGAGAAAATATTCATGTGGGTGTTTTGATGATTAATTAGTTGATGTGTATAAAATGCTTGAAAAAAGTATATGGCGTACATTCTAAATCGTATTATTACAATCCCTGAATTCTGTCAGGCTTTATGGTTGCCCTCCCATGTGCCTATCTTTCTGCATTGTTATCAGACATTCTTTCCACAGCAGCACTGATTTTGTCCTCATTTGAAATTTGTTCCAGATTTTTCCAGTCATAACTCTTTACATATGCCATTACTTTGGTTATCTAATTAATTTTGATTGATTTTTTTATTTAGGATACTTTTTGTAAGAAAATGCACATAAAATTGAAATCAAGGAGGAAAAAAAAGTCTATAGAAGACAGAATAACTATGTCAAGTGTTTCCAAATATACAGCAGGAAAACTAGTACATTAAATAAATATCTCTGATTTACTACCAAAAAAATGCACATATTTACATAGATGACATAACATAACATATACATTTAAAAACACATTTCTTCACTTTCAGTGTTAGGTAAAGTAACCTTTCTTATGTAATTTTACCCCATAATCTGTTGCCTCAAAATGACTTATTCCCTGAGAACTTAATATACTTTATTTTAAATAACAAAGTAATATGTTGTGGTGATTAATTTTCCAATATTCATTTTTACATTGTTATTAGGAAATGGTTCCTAGTTCATTAAAGGAGGAAGCTTCTAGAAAGAGTTGAATTTTTATTAATATTCCAAGTTATTATTTTATCT